TTTCTACACACTCGGAGAAATCCTCAACACCTACATCTGGGACCAGGCACACACAGGTACACACACACACCAACACACTCACCAACACACACTTTCACTCACTCACACACACACACTCACTCACTCACTCACTCACAGGTACACACACACCAACACACTCACCAACCCACACTTTCACTCACTCTCACACACACACACAAACACACCAACACACACAGGTATACACACACCAACACACTCACCAACAAACACTTTCACTCACTCACACACACACACACACACGCACACACACACACCACACACACACACACACACACACACAGGTACATTCTCGTGCAATGATACACACACACACACACCACACTCACACACACCATTTGAATGCATAACTTGCATGAATAGACACATACAAGAAACACACAAACAGACACACACACTCACACACACACACACACACACACACACACACACACACACACACACACACACACACACACCCTTTACTGTCCTCTGACTCCAGTTTCTTTCCTCTGTTTCTTTCTCTCAGGTAAAGTGAAAGGTGAGTGATCTCCTCCAGAGGACGAGATTTTGGACGACACTTTGATAGTGTTTGAAATTGTATTACTTCAGTTTTAAACTCTACAGTCTCTCTCTCTACAATTCACATTTTAGAGAGCGACGTATGTGTATAATCCATGTTTGTCATCAGCCAAATGTATTACTATTTATTTAAAGAACTTAAAGACTAAAGATATGATAAATATAAAATCTATATATGTCCTGGTGAAGCAGGTTATACAGTGCTGTCAACTCATCCTTTTAAGGCTTAAACTTTTGTTTTATGATATTCAAAAATGGTGCTTTTGAATGTATGAACTTATATGTTTACTTGCCAACACACACATACACACACACACACACACACACACACACACACACACACACACACACACACACACACACACACACACACACACACACACATACCATGTATACATCACTTCAGGGGACATTACATTGACTTACATGCATTTCCTGGAGACTTATCCTAACCTTAACCATAACCAACACATGCCTAACCCTAACCCTAACCAAGTCTTCACCCTAAAATTAATGACTCCCCTTATGGGGACCTCCAATTTGTCCCCATAAGGGAGGCGAGTCCCCACACGTGACTGTGTAAACAGATTTAGGTCCCCACAAGTATAGTAATGCTAGACCACACACACACACACACACACACACACACACACATACACACACACACACACACACACACACACACTCTAACTCAAGTTTCTTTCATCTCTGTTTCTTTCTCTCAGGTAAAGTGAAAGGTGAGTGATCTCCTCCAGAGGACGAGTCCCCCCCCATCAGGACAACACAAGGACAGAAAACAAGCGACCTCTCCAGAAGTGGAAGAAAAAATAAACATTTACCTTTGGACTGTAAACAACAACGACAACAACAACACCATAGAAGAAGACTGAACAAATAAACAGCAGCTAAATGTAAATAGATAAGAAGAAGAAGAAGAAGAAGGGAACGAAGGAAGACGCCACTTTTGTTTTATCATGTTTGTGTTTGTTAGTGGCTAAAACATCGTGACACACACACACACACACACACACACACACACACACACACACACACACACATGATAAACATTTACAGTACGTGTAATCTAGTTTTCTGGTATGAACTACTTTTAATTCCTCAGCTTCTATGAAACGACTGAATAATGTGTGAAATCGTCTTTATTATTATTATCTAATGAGACACACTAGATGTACTGAAGGAAGTTAATGTTGGTACAAAATCAATAAATCTGAGTGGAAACGTTTCCTGTCTTTTCGTGAAGTTTGGATCTCGAGTGCAATCTTAATCAAAAGGTAAAGAAGTTTGTGTGGAATTGAATTCGGACCCTTTCACTTAGTATAAATAAGTCTGAGTAAATACATCCACTATTAATATTTAACGCAGAGAAAACAGGAAATGTCTACACTCGAGAGGCAGAAAACCGCCTGTTTTTGCTGCAGAAAGGACCTAAATGATTATAAAAATCACGTAATATGTCCATACATTTTTCTAAAAGTGCTTCAATGTCTGGTTTTGTCGCCTAAAACCCCAAAGATATCCAATAAATAGGAAATATCCATATTTGAGAGGCAAAAAACACTATTCTTTTGTTGCAAAATGTTTATTAAAATCACGAAATTGTGCATCAAATGTTCTCCAAATCTTATAATGTCTTGTCCTGTCAGTCAAAAACACAGAGATATTCACTCAAATATCAAGTATGGGGGAAAGCAGGACATCTCCATGCTATAGGGGCTGAAAAGAGCTTTATTTGCTTTAAAAGGAACTGAAATGATAATAAAAGATTCATTTTTCAGTTAATTTGTGCAGCTCTAATGTCATTTTATAGCTCCTCAAATATGTCGTTCTCCTTTTCCTGTGTGTCATTGTTAACCCTGGCAAAACCTTAATGCATGAGCTCCAAAATACTTTCAAATATTTAAAGTTTCTCCATAATTACTCATCTTTAGTTGCCTTGCATAAAACAACTAAATCAGGGGTGGGGAACCTCCGGGCCGTATACGGACCGCGAGACCATTTGGTACGGCCCTCGAGGTAATTTATAAACACACGCAAAAAATTAAAGAAATCTAGACCGCAAAATAATTAAACAAACGAGTGCCTGGTTTTCCTGGCCAAGGTCAGGGTCCTTGAACACAACACGAGCCTAACGTGTCATCACGTGGTGTATCTCGTCTGGCAGGGGTCAGAGCCAGGTCTCTCTATATAGCTCTGGCAGGGGTGCAGTGCTGAAGGAGAGCACCAGAACGCCGCTCCGGCACTTCAGTCAATAGTATGAAGCTGTAGCGTCGGACTCGGAGGCTGCACTACACTACCGCACTCCCACGACCCTAGTTGTTTTGCGTATTGTGTTGTGTACTACTACTTACCATAGACTGTGTAAAGTAACATATTATATCTTATATTATTAATATATATATAAATAATTCTGATAAAATGTTATTCCAGCGTCAATAAACGAGTGTTAATCCCAGTGTGTTTAGTGTACAACATCACATGTCATTTCACCTTCAATTCACGGTTTTCAAAACGTTAGCCACATGCTAATGATAACCGGAAATGAAGAATCTTCAGAATAAAAGTGTTAAATTAATAGTTAGTGTGAACTTCCGGGTTTTTCAGAATAAAACTGCTTTAAATTAAAACCCTGTATTTAATTTAAATTACGTCATATCAACATTGAAACATTGAGGTTTGGGAGGGAGGAAGGAATATTAGGATTAGGTAAAAAGGTAGGGAGTGGTTAGGGTTAGGATGGGGGGAAGGGAAGGGTTAGATTGCGCACTGCATTGAGGGGCTTCAGGCGTTCATGTGAACGTGCTCCGTCGGACCTGTGTGTGCGGTTCTACAAGTGCAGTCCTGTAACTGCTGTCTCCGACTCTCCGACGCTGCAGCCTCATGCTACTCACTTCAGTACCCATAAGGAGCCGTACACATGCCGCAGTTTCTGCGTGGCTGTGTTTTAGTTGTAAGCCCAGTGGCGATCTGTCATACTGATCATACAGTCAATAACTTTGTTGTTATTAGCATCTGGTTAGCTAGCTATGCTAACAAATATAAGAAGCTTTTTCTCCAACCAGTGAGGTAAAGGCACATCTTTATATGATCATTATAGTTATACAAAAATAAGAGAATAAAGTAAACAGGTATAAAATACTATATGACAGTAAAAAAAAGAAATCTGTTTACAGTTCTGTTTCATATGGGTGTTGAGAGATGTATCCATAGATCTCTTAATGTTGCTCTCAGTGCACCAGATTGATGCTTTTAACTTCAACATTTTAAAAACAAATCTTCCCGGGGGAGCATGCCCCCGAACCCCCCTAGAGGAGGTTCGGGGAGCATACCCCCGGACCCCCCTAGGAGGTTAGGCCCCCCCCCCCCGACTTAAATCATGTTCACATGGATACTAAATACATTTGCACACATCTTGTGTCCATATCTTTCTGTTTTGGTGGTCATGCCACAACCGTGCACGTGCATGCATGCGCGAGTCATGGTGAGATATCTGGATTACGAGGTTGCTTTTTCTTTGCACAGCATGAAAGAAAGGCGAAATGAATGGGCTGTGATTTTAGTATTTTTAAGCAGAGGTCAATAATTTGTACGGCCCTCGCAGGATGTTGAAAAAATTGAAATGGCCCTCGAGAGAAAAAAGGTTCCCCACCCTAAACTAAAGAGTTTAAATTAAGTCTTTAAAATATCCCCAAAACTCCGGATTGCCACTGCAGTGACTTCAGGAAATTCAACTTATAAGTGAATCTAATATACACCTGAACATGAGCAGAATATGTCCTCTTTAAAGGTAGAAATGAAGAAGAAGAAGAAGAGATAGAAAATGGCTGCTTCATTCTGTTCAGCAGAAGGGAGGAGAAACATTCAAACCATTTCAGTTTCCTTTTCTTCTTCTTCTTCAGTCTGTAACACAGCACTTCCTGTCAACACACTCTGCTTCCTCTTTTAACACAAATCAAACGCCCCTCCTCTCTCCTCTCATGTTTGGAAACAATATGAAAATAAAGTTAATTTTCCCTGACAGTGTTGTTCCTGCGCCTCGACACGACGTGACATCTCCTATTACAGAGGATTCTTTGTAAGTGTTCGACAGTGTGTGTGTGTGTGTGTGTGTGTGTGTGTGTGTGTGTGTGTGTGTGTGTGTGTGTGTGTGTGTGTGTGTGTGTCTGTGTGTGTGTGTGTGTGTGTGTGTGTGTGTGTGTGTGTGTGTGTATGTGTGTGTGTGTGTTACTGTCAGATAGGAAAGGAGAGTCTGACACAACACCAAATGTGTGTGTAAATGTGTGTGTGTGTCTTACTGTCAGATAGGAAATGAGAGTCTAACAACACCAAATGTGTGTGTGTGTGTGTGTGTGTGTGTGTGTGTGTGTGTGTGTGTGTGTGTGTGTGTGTGTGTGTGTGTGTGTGTGTGTGTGTGTGTGTGTAAATGTGTGTGTGTGTCTTACTGTCAGATAGGCAATGAGAGTCTAACAACACCAAATGTGTGTGTGTGTGTGTGTGTGGTCTCTTCATTAACACGTCGGCTCCTCCGCTCTGAGGTGACACATTAGAACGTTCTGGAATATTCTGCCCTGCATTCATTAGCATAGATTTACATGCTAACGAGTAGAGAGGAGATGGAATAAAAACACTTTTTTTATTCAGGACGGATCTGTGATTTTAGATGTGTTTATGGGAAATGTATATGGTGAAACGTGGAAGGAAGGAAGGAAGGAAGGCAGGCAACACAGGAAGGAAGGAAGGAAGGAAGGAAGAGAGGGATAATTAAAGGGAGGAAGGAATGAAGGAAGGACTTGAAAGAACAACAGAAGGTTAGAAAAAATGCAGGAGGAAGGAAGAAAGGAAGTAAGGACGGTAGGAAGGAAGGAGAGAAGGAAAGTATTGAATGAAGAAAAGGGAAGTCAGGAAGGAAGGAAGGAAGGAAAGTAATGAATGAAGAAAAGGGAAGTCAGGAAGGAAGGAAGGGAAGTAATGAATTAAGGAAAGATAAGGGAAGTTAGGAAGGATGAAAGGAACTAATGAAGGAGGTTCAAAACTGCTGATGGATCACTGTAAGAAGACAGGAAATGAGATAAGGAAGGAAGGAAGGAAGGAAGTGGGTTGCTGTAATAGAGAATAATCATGATGGGCCTTTGAAAGAAGAAATAAAGGAGAGGGGAAGGGAAGGAGCTAAAATGGGAAGGACTTATGAAAAGTGAGGAAGGATGGAAGATAAGAAAGTGAGAGGTAGGGAAGGAGATAAGGAGGAAGGAACATAACTGAAGGTGCAAAAGAAAGATGGAAAGAGGGAAGGGAAGGGAATGAAGTTAAGGAAGTCTGAGGAAGGAAGGAAACAAGTGGGAACAAAGTAAAAGAAGGAAAGGACAACGTATTAAATGAATAATAAACACTAAATGGCCAAATATAAGATGGGAAAAAGTAGCAAGGAAGGAAAAAGGAAGGAGACATTTAAACCAAAAGAGGGATATTAAAACAAACTGATCGATAAACCAAGGAAGGAAGTGAAGGAGAGAAAGTGCATGAAGCTAGAATGGAAGTTGTGAAAGGAAATAAACAATAAGGACGAAGACAATGAGAGACATAATCGAACAAGGAAGGAAACAGGAAGGAAGTGAGGGAGGAAGGAAGGAAGGAAGGTGTCAGCCACTAACGGAAGGAAGGAAGGAAACAGGAAGGAAGTGGAGAAAGAAACACTGAAACCAAAAAAAGAGAGACAGTGTGTGAAAGAGTTTAAAAACCATCTGAGACACAGACACACACACACACTCACTCAACACACTCTCCAACTTTCGGCGCACACACACACACACACACACACACACACACACACACACACACACACACACACACACACACACACACACACACCTGGCGTTTAGACACATATATTATACACACTGTTTTTAAGTCCTGTCAGCTGCAGATACTGTGAACACACACACACACACCACAGTACATGTGTGTGTGTGTGTGTGTCTGAGAGGAAATGAAACAGTAGAATGAGTCGGAAATGTGTCAGCGTGTATGAGTGTGTGTCTGTGTGAATGTGTGTGTGTGTGTGTGTGGTATATGAGCAGTTGTGAAGGTCACTCCTGTTGAGAAGCACTGCTAGACCCACACACACACACAGTTTCTCACACTCTCTCTGTCTCTTCTCAGAATAACAAACAGGAAGTGGTTTTACTTTTACAGAACTAGGAGCGTGTGAACGTTAACAGTGAAATTGAAAGTGGCTGAAAAGCAAAAAGAACTACAGAAGCTCCAACAACACGACAGTTATTATTCAGATATTTTATTTATCGTGATCAATATTCAGTTTTCAAGTAATTTCATTCATTTGTATGGTTTAGTTTCGATTCGAGTGTGTGTGTGTGTGTGTGTGTGCGTGTGTGTGTTTAACGTGCAGTTATAGTAGTACTGCCCCCCCTGCTGGCAGATTGTTGGAACAGCCACTTATGTTTGAGGAAGTCACTTCGGGGCTGAAACACACAGAAAATAAAATACTGTTAAAAAGATGAGGACCTGCACACACACACACACACACACACACACACACACACACACACACACACACACACACACACACACACACACACACACACACACACACACAC